GTTTTGTTTCCATTGCCTTGGGTGGAAGGCGCAAACCGGGTTCTCTTTGTAAAGTTCCAAGACATTTGCGCGAGAGTTGTCGAATAGCTCTTTGACGCTCAAGTAAACAAACCGCATGATTAGTTGGAAAGATGAATTGATTGAAAGACTGTTTATTGGATTAAGCTGAGCTAATTCTCTGAAGTAAAGATCATTAAAGCAAGAGATTAGATTCATGGAGCCATACAACAAATTCAATTCTTTAAAGCGAATAATGAAGCAATGATGTAAAAAGATCGAGCCCGTGGAAGTAATGTTCACAAAGGATTCTACTTTCTACCTCATTAACTCTGTCACAAATCCTAGAGATTCAGGCAATCGTATGAATCCCAGAGACTTTCCCTGCAACCGTTAAGCGGATTCCATGGATTTCTCGACTCTCAAGCAGCTACTTGTCCTTCTCAAGTTAATCTCCGTTCGCCAAGACCAAGGTCCTTGAAATAGTGATGGTTTTTACTTACGGGTACTCACAGGAGCAAACACCGGAAGCTGGTTCGAGGTTGAGTCCCTTCTGAATCTAGCTTCCCGAGGCAATGCCAATGTCATCCTCTCTTGTCCCTCTCTTCCTGAGTCCCCTTCGTTTCTTAAGCTATCTCTGTTTGGGATATTTACCAAGGGACCACCAAAGAAGATAGAGTCACCTGTATACATCAGTCTCTCTCCTTGCTGCGGAGGACGAGGAGGAGCATTTCCAGATGAAGAATCTTGAGGCGGAAGAACAACAGGTCTTGGATTCTGAGTGTTACCCATGTGTGAGCTAGGAATTGGCTGGTTCTGTGCGGAAAATCTGGTTCTTCCTTCAGATGTTGTTGTTACAGGAACTGATACATATCTACCTGCTTCTTGGTCCCAAACAACTGATGTTTTTCTCACATCTCTCAGAAGAGAAGTTGCAGGAGCAGCAGGGAGAAGCAATGAATCAACGTTGTTTCCTTTCTGCATTATCTTTTCATCAAAGGTTGAGTGGATCATATGATTGATTGCTGGATTAAGAGGTGGTCGGGTAGAATTGGATGAGGCCGCTGCAGTGAAGCACTGGCCAGCAGTATGATATTGAGGGAGAGGACTAAGCGTGACGGCCTCGTGAACATGACTTGGACTGCTGAAACTGCTCATACTGTGAGTCTCTGTCTCATACTCGTCCCGGCTACCTTGGCTTGGACCAAGAGAGTTTCTAGATAGAGACAACCTTGGATCGTTATTTCTTGTCTCTTTACTCAACACTGCCCCATTTGCATCTGTGCTTACACTACTGATGACACTGATAGTGCCACTCGAACTAAGTTCATCATCTTGTGCATGACGGTTTTCTATTGGTCTTAGAACAGATGATGATGCTCGGGCTCTAGCTGCTGCCTTTGCAGCTTCATTTGAATCCAGCTTTGCGAGTCTCCAAGCACTAATTTTGACAGGTCTCTTCGGAACCTTGTTGCCCCTCTCGCCTGATTCAGCTGCATCTGGATCTATGTTCGATGGGACCATTCCAGGGTCCAAATGAGGAATCACTTCATCCTGTGACATAGATAACAAGTATCAAGCCGACATAACAAAAACTGAATAGAAACTCAGTGGAAGCTATATATTAACTGATGTTCTTAGGGTTCTTGGAAAAGCAAATGATACCTGATAATTAACAAACACTCTAGGAGGAGTGCACCAGGCTCCCTTGTATGGTAGACCAAGGGAGCTTCGACCACTAAAGCCCGTGGTGGCAGATCCAGAGGGAGAATATAACACGTTAGGCATTTCCTCATCAATCGAAGCACCAGCTGGCGCCTCGCTCATTGCTCTCATTGCCACAACATACTCGTAAGTTGTAATGCCCTGTTGGTATTAAATACGAAAAATTGAGTTCACATTGCCTTAGAACATGCAATCAGCCCACTTACAAACGAAGTAGTGATATGGTGAGACGGATTAGGGGAATGGATCAATATGGTCTTAGTCGCAAAGGGAAAAACCAAATAAAATTAAAAACTATCCTCACAACTATGAAGAGTATGCATTTGCATGTGCTACTCAATTTTTAGCGAACCATGTAGTTTTCTAACAATGAATGCTTTTAAAACGGTCTTAGCAAGATTCATACCAGTAAAGAGAATAGATTATAAGCAACTAAAAGCGAGACTAACTTCTTCCGTACTAACCTTTTTAATGAGGAGCATGTGGAAAAAGAAAAGTTCACCTAGTGGAAACAATGCTAAAATGGAAACAGCAGTGCAGAGACTCTGCATAAATTGTAAGAAAACATCAGGAAAATCAACAATAGAGGCTCACCATACTGCAGCTGCTTTAGACTACGAATACTTACAACAACCGTAGCAAAAGGTGCCCGAGAAAATCCATTTCCGAGTCTATTGACGATTTCGGCTTCCATGTCTTTCTTATTAACAAATACACGCACTATAACTGCAATTCCAACTGCTACTTCAACAAGGAGCTGAGGAGAGAAAGATTCATTGATTACTGGTTAAGCAAATAGTGAGCTTTAGAAGTAGCATGTCAAGATACGTACCCAGAGAAGACTGACAGCCATCAGGGATATAAAAGTCACATAATTCTTGCGACCGACGCAATTGTTAAGCCACTGTAGCACTTAAATACAGCTGTGTCATTTGATCGCACCCATAAAACTCTAGTTAAAGAGCTCCGCTAAACAAGTCAATTGTTGCAACGGTCCGAAAATTTACCCGGCAATGATGATCGAAACAATCTACACATTTGTCGCAACTTCGACAATGCTTGCTAAACTTACGGACCTGTCATAAAGAAGGAATCAAGGTTAAGCATTGATTCTCTTTCCTCTTTATCATGTCTAAGCTAATGATAGAATATAACCAACAATGGGTTTAGTAGTTGATTTTTGCTCTTCAAGCATAATTCGATATTAAAGAACTATATATACATGGAACTAAATGTAGCTTTCGGCAGCAAAGAAGCAAGCAATTGTAGCATAATACCTCAGCATTGCACAACGTGCAAAACAGAGCTTCTTCCCTGTCCCCCTGTTGTTCATCCGTCTCTTCTTTCTTGCGACAATCTTCATAAACAAACAAGCCACAGAAGATTGCCAAAGGATTATAGCAAGACTTTCTTCGAACAGTTTCCGTTCTTTGAGCCTCCCCTACAGAACCTTTCACGCTAGAGTTTGCTGCTAAGGTAGAAGTCCTGGAGGCAACTGAAGGAGAAGACTGCAGATGGCTGCCCATTTCATCAAATTTTCTCGAGATATCTTTGGCAGGTAAGTCATGTCCCATGTCACCTCTATTTGCGCCTCTCTCGAATTTTGACATGATTCCTGGATCTGCAGGATTGATTGCAGTACACCGAACATAAAGAACGAAAACAATGAGAGCCTGCAAAGACATGACACAAACAGAAGGGCATCAGATACGATTGTCTCTCGTGAGACGCAGCATCATCCAATCTCTCTTTAAACCTAAGCTCAGATAACACTAAGGTTTAGCTTTGAACCTCAAACTACAGATTTATCCCTCAATCCAAAATCATTCAAAAACCATCTCCTACTCTACATCAGAAACCACCAAATTGAGGAATAAAATATACATACCAGAGGAGAGTAAACACCAATGAGAATGTATTCCCAAATGCGTCCTCTAACAAAAGGAGCAAAAAACGCATAGTATGCAACACTCAACAAGCAGAACACCGTAATCGCAACCACCTGTTTCAAAAATTGAGAAACCAAATCTCAAAACACACACTTGATTTCTGGAAACTTTTTCCCAATTCGAAAGCAACAAATAACAAAAACCCAAATTAGAGAGAAGGTTTTGCAATCAAGACCTGAAATTTGTGAGCAGGAAGTTGCCAACCATGTTTCCTCACCATATTATACTCTCAAAACCCAGAATCACAAAATCCAAAACGAAACCCTAACTTCAACAACTCTGCTTGCAAATCGTATAAAAATGAGATTTTTATCGCCGATAAGCAGAACCCAGAAGTATATATATTTAAAAGGGGAAAAGAACTGAGAAAATATCTGCTTTTTCTCTTTCTATTTATCTCTATCTACCTCTCTTACTATGGTAGGTCAGTCATAGTAAAAGCGACGAAAGAGGAAAGTAAGACTGAAATAAACGAGAAACAATGATTAAATGCGAGATTAGAGAAGACCTAAGCAATTTCAAACTCGAGTAGCAAACAAAAAAAGAAGCTTTACTGAGAAAAGAGAAGCTCAGTAATGGCGGAATCCAAAGTAATAACTGG